AAGTAAAGTCACTAGGGATAAATAGTTTTAAATTATCGACTTTGCTCAACTCTCTGGAGCCAATTAAGTATTTTGAAAATTCAATTCAGAAGTGGTGCTTCATAAAATATAACTCCGTCGTCTCGTGTTTGATATGTAGAATTCCACTCAACGATTAATACGGAGACTTTAAAGCAATTTATTCATTAATTAGTGTCATTCAGATGACCACTTGTTTTACTTAACAGGTAATGAAACAGTGACGGCTTACAGTATCGCCTGTTTGTCAAGACTAAAGTGGCCATAGGAGTAGCGTCTATTAATATTCATGTGAACAGGATAAAGAATTACTCATAAAACAATAGTATTTCACGCTTGAAGTAGCAATAGCTCACCTTTTGACACGACTTATTGTAAAATAGAACTCAACAGGTGCTTGTCTCGTTCTTATCAGTCAGTTACCAACGGAGTTGGATCTGACATCACTACTCGACAGTTTAAGTTACCACACCTCACACGGGCACATCAGGTTACAAAGTAGCAAGATGAAAGGTAAAGAAATTGGAGGAAATGTATGCAAAATTTGAGGAAAGCTATACAAAAAGAGATAATAAACGGCAAATAAGAATATGTGGCATGATGATTAGGATGAAGACAAGGTGAAGATGCATCTGCATCCTCGGGATAGATTCCGAACCGTCTCCAACCAGTTATCAAGAAAATCCCAAAAGAAAGTCCGTATCTCCCTACACGGTTTCGACCAACAGACTTTACGGCCTGATGCAACACTTTAGTCTGAATGCACTTGACGCTTTCCTAGAGAAAACCTACTTCGTATAATACCTTGCGTAGATGATTAGGCATGCGTTACATATGTCCCGGTTAGCAGAATCAATGAACACAATTTTATCAACAGAATCGCCTGCTACCCACAACTCCAAACCTTACCTCTACATTATGAACTAGATCGTTTCATGACATGGAAAGTGCTGCAAAGACGATGACGGTCTAACGCTTTAAGCCTTCTCTCCTACAGGTGGTGCAAATTAGTAAAAACTAATTGAGCTTTTCGTATATGTTAAAATTTCGTTGGTGGTTAATGTATCAAGACTGATTTGACTTCCTAAATGAGTAAGGCGGACAACATGTCTAACTACTTCATTATCTATTATAAAATGAGCTGCCTGGGTAGATCAGTTCTGATGCAACAGTTTTAACTTGGTGAGAAAAGCATTCCAAACATTTTCAAGTTGTCATTCAAGGTGTCTAGAAGATATTAAAGTAAGTAGCATAAGACTGTTTTATTTACGCTTCATCTTTGAAGTCGTGGATACTTGTGTTAACACTCACCTATTTCTTCTCCCTCCTCTACTAAACTTTTACCTAACGTCATTCTACCTAAGTTTTTGCAAGCTGCTGTGAAGTATTGCAGCTTTAACCAATATACTTCTGCACTGGGTTCTATATTAGTTTCTCCGTCTGTCTGTCCCTACGGGATCAGTGTCAATCTATGTTGAGACGGGAGTTAGACTTTTCATTAAAATCAGAGCGACACGATCCAACCGAACCCTAAGTAAATATCGCATTTATTTCGCTAAACTGAAAAGCCCAGTCAGATTTAAAAGTAAGAGGCTAAGAAAACAGTACCCACCAATTATCTCTACTAAAACTCAGATGACATGACTAAGCTGTGCTCAAAACGCCATCCGGCGAAAAATAACGTATCACTGTTTGTTACACTAAATAAACTCATCTAAAATGGAGTTACAGTTTACTATAGCATCTTGGTTCCATATTAAGTTCGACAGTTTGCGTGCAGAATACAATCAGGGATGACACGTTAATCAAGTGAACCCAGTTAGGGGGGGCTTAACAAAATCCAATAAATAAGTAAATGACTGCAAATCAGTAAGACAAAAATGCGACTTCAAAAACAATATCTGGTAATAACTAAAAAGGTCATAAACCACTTCTACGCAAAACATCTCTGGTTATGCCGTTCACATTATGTGTAATGTACAGTTGAAGCGCCACTCTTTGTTACGTTTCAGTATCCTGAACTTAGTAACACGTACTTTGAAAATTCTTCCACGTCTCGTATTATGCTACGGAGATCCTAAATTTACGCTGTAGATGAAATAATCAAAGTGACACAAAGTACTGAGATGAACAGATACAGCTGATTGGTAATT